CCCCGGTTTACTCCTCCTCAGGGTCCGGCCCGCCCGAAGGCCGCCGGCTGGCCGGCCGGCCCTCCTCGCTATGAACACTTGGCTGCCACAAGCCAGTTATCCCTGTGGCAACTTTTCTGACACCTCTTGCTTCAAACTCCGAAGCTCAAAAGGATCAATAGGCCACACTTTGACGGTCCATATTCATACTGAAAATAAAAATCAAACAAGCTTTGGCCCTTTTGCTCCGCGAGGGGTTTTCTGTTCTCGCTGAGCTCGCCTTAGGACACCTGCGTTACCCTTTGACAGATGTACCTCCCCAGTCAAACTCCCCGCCTGACGCTGTCGCCAGAGCGGGTGGCGGCCGGCCGCGTAGCGCCAGAAGACTGGGCCCACGCGGGGCCTGCTCCCCACCCCACCGGCTAAGTAAAGAAACGACAAGAGTAATGGTATTTCACCGTCGGGCCTTGGCCCTCCCACCTATCCTACACCCCCGTGTCTCTTCACAAGGTCAGACTAGAGTCAGATTCAACAGGGTCTTCCTTCTCCGCTGATTCTGCCAAGCCCGTTCCCTTGGCTGTAGTTTTGCTAGAGAGTAGATTGGGACAGTGGGAATCTCGTTAATCCATTCATGCGCGTCACTAATTAGGTGACGAGGCATTTGGCTACCTTAAGAGAGTCATAGTTAATCCCACAGTTTACCCGCGCGTACGGCCCCGCGGTCCGGCGGGGGGGGGGAGAGTGCTGCTCGGACACGGCGCGGGCATGGGGCGCCGCGACCCGCTTCCAGCCCCGACCCGACCGACCCAGCCCTCAGAGCCAATCCTTCTCTGAGTTATGGATCCGGCTTGCCGAATTCCTTTACCTACATTGTTCTATCGACCAGAGGCTGTTCACCTTGGAGACCGGCTGCGGTTTTGGATACGACCCGAGGCGACGGTCCACGCACTCCCCCGCATTTTCAAGGGCCGGCCAGAGCTCGCTGTACACCGCCGGAAACGCGACGCTCTACGGGGCGGCAGCCCCTAGCACCGGACAAGCCGATTCCAGGGATCCCGCCCCTTACCAAGAAAAGAAAACTCTTCCCGGGGCCCCAGCCGGCGTCTGCGGGCTTGCTTACTTCGCAGCTCGGACCGCCACGGAGGACGGACAATATTTCTGAACCCTGCGGGTTCAGAAATATTGACCCAATTCCCTTTCGCCCGGGGGGCAAGGCCCCAGCCTCGCTCTGAGCGGATTTTCCCTAAGGCTTAGGATCGACTGACCCATGTACAACTGCTGTTCACATGGAACCCTTCTCCGCCACTCGGCCCTCGAGGATCTCACTCGAATATTTGCGAATACCACCAAGATTTGCGCCCACAGCGGCTCCACGCGGCCTCGCGGCCGGCGCTTCGACGCGCACCGCGGCGGCCGTCCTACTCGCCAGGGCGTACCACCAGGGCGGTAATCCCACTCACTCTCTGCCCCGACGGCCGGGTGTGGGCGGCACGCTCAGCGCCATCCAGTTTCAGGGCTAGTTGATTCGGCAGGTGAGTTGTTACACACTCCTTGGCGGATTCCGACTTCAATGGCCACCGTCCTGCTGTCTGTATCAACCAACGCCTTTTCTGGGCTCCGATGAGCGTCGGCCGCAATGCGGGGCTTCACCTGGCGGCCCCCAGACTCGCAAGCCCGATAGACTCCTTGATCCGTGTTTCAAGACGGGTCGGCAGGGCTCGCGACATTCGCCCGCGGACCCAGGGCACCTCAGCGCGGCCGACACCGGCCCGGACGGGGACCGCCGGCCCGGCGCCACCTGGGACGGTCGAGGCGGGCGGGGCCCTCCGGCGGGCCGGGAGGCCCGGCGGCCGCTGCGGGGAGGCGGCGCGCAGGCGGGCGCAGCCCGTCGTCCCTTCCTCAACCGGGCGGCCGGCGCAACCACGGCCGGTCTCTAGGCTCTCCGACCGCCCCCCCCCCGGTCGGGGGAGCCGGGGTGGCCGGAGGAGCCCCAACAGGCCGGCCTATGCGGGCCCGGATGCCCAGCCTGTCGCGGGCGCCTTGCCCGGGAGAAGTGCATGCTGCTGGGCGCGGAGGCGCCCTGAGACCCCGGCTAGGAGGGTGCTTCGGACACCGCGCTGGCCGCGCTGAATCTCCCCGGCCTTTGTGCTTTTCAACTTTCCCTCACGGTACTTGTGCTCTATCGGTCTCCTGCCCGTATTTAGCCTTNCGCGACATTCGCCCGCGGACCCAGGGCACCTCAGCGCGGCCGACACCGGCCCGGACGGGGACCGCCGGCCCGGCGCCACCTGGGACGGTCGAGGCGGGCGGGGCCCTCCGGCGGGCTGGGAGGCCCGGCCCGGCTGCCGCTGCGGGGAGGCGGCGCGCGGGCGGGCGCGGCCCGTCGTCCCTTCCTCGGCCGGGCGGCCGGCGCAACCACGGCCGGTCTCTAGCCTCTCCGACCCCCCCCCCGGTCGGGGGAACCGGGGTGGCCGGAGGAACCCCAACAGGCCGGCCTATGCGGGCCCGGATGCCCAGCCTGTCGCGGGCGCCTTGCCCGGGAGAAGTGCACGCTGCCGGGCGCAGAGGCGCCCCCGGACCCCGGCTAGGGGGGTGCTTCGGACACCGCGTCGGCCGCGCTGAATCTCCCCGGCCTTTGTGCTTTTCAACTTTCCCTCACGGTACTTGTGCTCTATCGGTCTCCTGCCGGTAGAGCACAAGATGGAGTTTACCACCCGCCTTTGGGCTGCGCTACAAAACAACCCGACTCCCGGAAGCCCTAGTCACCGGCCGGACGGCGCCCGCAGGGGCCTGACACCCGCCATGGGACGACGGGGGACCTCGCCCGTTCCCTCTCCGCCGGTCCACTCGGAGATCTGCCACGGGGCCGGCAGCACTCGGTCCCCGCTGGCGGGGCCTGGCGTCCCCTTTTTCTCTTTTGGCATGCCCTGCGTGCCTGGCCTTCTTCCGGCGCGCTCCGTTGAGGCCGCCCGTGTCTTTCTTGTTCGGCTCGGGAGTCCCGCGCCCACTCGGCGCACGTTTTAGCCCCAACAGACCCCAACGAGAGACGCTCTTGCAAGCTAGGGTGCCTCACCGACGCGTTCACGGGTGGGGCCGAGTCGGGTTTTGCGCCCGAGTCGAAGCGAGACCGTAGATGCGCCCTTTTGCGGACAACGCAGTCCCAGGAAGAAATCTTCAGCGCAGGCCGCTCCCTCGTAACACTCCCCGTCCGGCACCCGCAGCGGGACCGACGCCGCCCGCTGCGAGATGCCGCCCTCGGGCTGGAGGCCCCAGTTCATCCCTGCCGAAAACCTGATCGCACGATGGCATTGGGACCGACTTTGCGACTCGGCACCCTGGCGCTACTCCTCGAGAGCCCGCCTGCAGAGTAAACTATTAACCGTGGATTTCAAGCCAGTTTGGTGCTGCTGCGTCAGACATGCAGCCCAGCACCCAATCCTCGGCCACCGAGAAAGCGCTCGGTCACTCTACCGTCAGTTCCGGCAGGCCTTCCTCCAGCTACGCCCGCTGCACCGCCGAGTCCCGGACACCTCCGGCCCCTATCCGTAACCCTAACCCTCTCTCTAACCCTACCCTACCCCAAACACTATCTCTAACCCTA